TCCCTCCAGTCAATTAAGTGATGCTTATTTCTTATTTCTTTCCTTTTAACTACGGGCCATCTTAGGACTCTTTACTTTAAATTAATTGTTAAAATTGTAAGTTCTTTGATTTATATTTCTCTGTTTTTATATATGTAAATTGTGTATATTTTAAATTGTTTCTATTTCTGTGTTGTGAGCCGCCCAGAGTAGACCATGTCTAGATGGGCGGCATATAAATGCAATCAATCAATCAATCAATCAATCAATCAATCAATCAATCAATCAATAATCTTCTTAGAACTGCAGAGCTGGAAGGAAGCCTATGGATCAACCAGTCCTGACCGCCCCCCCAAGAAGGAACCATGGGGGAATCGAACTCCCAACCTCTGGCTCCACAGCCCATCATCATCATCCTTATTGGCTTTCCAGATGTTATGTTAGTTATATCTTGGCTTTTCCTCCGAAAAGGTGGAGTTGATTTTCTTTTTCCCCACACGATGAACCGACAGCCCTGTGAGGTAGAGCAGGCTGTACGAATGTGACCAACCCAGGGTCACCTGACTGATTTTATCCAGTGAGTTTTACTCATTAATAAGGGGATTGAAACAGGTCTCCTGCACCCAAGTTAAAAACTCCAAAATATTACACTCATACTTTGCTGCTTTGCTTCTTCCCCTGGAACAAGGATTATGATCATAATAGATTTTGAAATTGTTATCACTGCTGTTGAATCTTTATTGCTGCTAATAAAAGCAAGAGGGAAATACAGGATAACAAATATTATTAAATCAAGGCTGTTGAAGAAACACCCAGTGGGGGGAATAAGGGGGAATCGAACTCCCAACCTCCAGCTTCCCAGTCAGAAACCGAACTCACTAAGATCTCCAGCTGAAAAAATGGGACTTCAATCTGTAAATATTTACGTTACAAAACTGTACTGGACTGAAGAAATTCTAAGTTGATGAAAAACAATCCATTTAGAATCCTTCCAAAGTGCGGGAGAAAAATACTTTGGAACGATGTAAAGGGTACTTACTGTATTTGTCGAATCCATTGCTTATTACTAAACAAGGCTTTATTACTGCCTTTCCGTTAAATAAATCTGAACAAGTTGCAGGGAACACCAAAGCCCCCCAAAAGAAGAACTGGATGTTTATAGTGGCGAATGAAAAATACTATGTTGTGATGAAAAATAAGACGAGCAATCATAAGTGAGAGAGCTACCCAGTTCAGTCGAAATTGAAGCAATAAATTGAAATGTGCTTGAAAAAGGAAGAGATGACGACAGGAGATGCTGATACGTAGGACAGCTATATAAGTTTAAGAAATCCTTATGAGTAGGAATTGATTTAAGTGATTAGTCTGTCGGGTTTAGGATGTTTATACATTTATTTTAAACATTCTTACTGGGCTCTTCGGCTTTGCATAGGGCAAGCATAAATAAGGCAATCTTCACACACACACACACACACACACACACACACACACACACACACACAAAGAAAGAAAGGGGTGTGGGAGAGAGAGAAAGATGCAGACATCCATTCTAAAGGCTGCATAGTAGTTTTCAGTGATGATAAAAAGCTAATTTTTACAGCTGCTACATCAGTCTACAAACCTGTCGTGTGTTTCCTGAGGGTCAGTCACATGGAATTGTCTTACGTTTGAGTAGACAATGGGCTGTTGAAGAAAAACAGCTCAACCACATCCCCTTTGAGCCTCTTTGAGGTGTGGTTGTTCAATGGAGCACACTAATCAAATAAAATCCCATTGACTTTTGTGTGCTTATGCATAACCAAATCTGGGCTCAGTCCATGCTTAGGACTGGAAGACTCTGGGCCAGAAAGCTGTTTTGGTGACCCAAATACAGCGCAGGAACTAGCATGCGGTGAGTAAGGCTTTGCCCCGGGGCACCATCATTTAAAGACCCCTGAAACTCGAGGTGAATCTGCTGATGGATCTTAGGAAATTAAACAGCAATGCTATTAACTTTCCTTTTGGGAAAAAAAAACATAAGTTGCATTTTTCACTTTTTCTTATGAAAGGCCTATGGCCTTGTGCCAGGGGAGTCAATTGCCCTGGGAAGTTCTGTTGGAAGTGAACTAAGCTCTTTCAACATAAAAAAATTCTGTCCCTGGTCCTTCGCAGCCCTTTTTTCCAATGTTCACGGTATAATCAAAGACGAGACGATTTTGTAGCTGTTCCTACTGTAAACATCAGAGCAGGAAATCATAGTTGGGTCATTTTTAAGGAGAAAGGCAGGATAAACATCATTTAATGAATAATAAAAATCTACATCATATCACTCAGAGGCCTATTGGTAGAATCCATTCTTTTTTCTTTTCTCGCCTCCATGCTCAGTCTAGAAGGTCATTGAGAACAGAGCAACCATATTGAGCCAAACTTCTTCACTGATATTCAAAAGTTGGGCGTATTGCTTTTTTGTTGTTTAGTCGTTAAGTCATGTCCGACTCTTAGGGACCCCATGGACCAGAGCACGCCAGGCCCTCCTGTCTTCCGCTGCCTCCCGTAGTTGGGTCAAATTCATGTTGGTCGCTTCGGTGACCCTGTCCAACCATCTCATTCTCTGTCGTCCCCTTCTCCTCCTGCCTTCACACTTTCCCAACATCAGCGTCTTTTCCAGGGAGTCTTCTCATGGGGTGGCCAAAGTATTGGAGCCTCAGCTTCAGGATCTGTCCTTCTAGTGAGCACTCAGGGTTGATTTCCTTCAAAATGGATAGGTTTTGTTCTCTTTGCAGTCCAGGGGACTCTCATTTTTCTGTATTGCTTAGTATTGCTAATTCCTAGAGTGTTTTTCTGAGATTTATCTTACATATTATATTGCCTGGAGTCCCCCACCCCATTCTCTTTCTGTTTCTAGGAACAGAGTAGTAATTCATGTGTAAATTTGGCACACGCAGTGTTTGGCTGAATAGAGATGAGCGCAGATGGCTCACAAGTGAAATGAATTGCTCCGTTTTCATATGTTTGTGCATGCTTTTCTGAGTACAAACGATCTTGCAGCATCTTAGAGACGAATGAGTTTTGTTCTGCTCAGCCTTGATGGAGTGTGACCATGTTCATCCGATGCAGATCGCCGTCTCCTGAGGTGGCCAAAGTGGCCATTCACAACAGGCATAACAGAGGAAGACTAAGGGGAAAAAAGGCTGTATGGTTGATGCAAAATTAATTTTAAAAAAGTTTCATGCTAGATCATGATGCAGGACTACATCATGGGACATGATGTGTCTTCCAGATGGCCTCTGTAGGAACTAGCCAGGCCACAGATCCTGGCTTACAGAGGACAGTCCTTGTTGGAAAAACTGTGAAAGAAGAATTGTTTTTGAAGGTGTTCTCTGTTTGTATTGGAAGAGCTGGCCGGTTGAAGTCCAATTGAAAGGGAAAGAACAATAAGAAGACATCGGGCAGTTTGGAATTTTCAAAGAAGCAGCCGTATTAGTCTTTGCAGGAATAGCAGACCAAGACAAGCAAACCAAAAACAAGAAAAATTTTAAAAAGCAAGAGACAAAAATGTTGTGGAACCTTAAAGACTATCTGGAACCTATCATTATTGTCTATGAGTCTATACAGTAACAATAGCATTACTGACAGAAAGGGCAAAATGTGGGACCCAGTGTTGGATTTCGCATTTGTTAATGTGTTAAGAAGCCTTGGTTGACGTTTAATCCTTTGGAGTAGGTCTACAGCATTTGTATGTACCTCATCTCAGTTGTCAGTAGTCACAAGACACCAAACTAACATACTGCTGCTTACATTTCTGATCACAAGGAAGAGGCACATGGGTGGAAATTCACCACTGCAGTTTTCACAATGACACTTGTGCTCAAATACTGTAAATCCACTCTAGGAATCTGCCTGTAGAAATTCCTTTTAAACTTGAAAAATAATTTCTAGCTTTGCATCTACGTGTAGAACATTTATCCATTAAAATTGCACCTGATGAAATCTTTTATTTATTAGTTCTCTGGCATGAAATATTAAATGCATATATTACTTCTACATATTCCCTTATTTTTACATATTAAATTACACTGTGTTTATATATTGTAGCAGTCTTCAAGAGCCAATGTGGTTCGTTGACTAGAGAGGGACACAGCTTCAAATCTTTGCTCAGCCATGAAAACTTAATGGAGGGTAGTAGTATCTTAAGTCCTACTCAGATGCTCTATACTTTACACTATATTTTTAGATTATATT